ATTTTTACACTACAAAGCACTCCACGCTAATCTCTTCAGTCTGCCTTCACTAGTCTTCACAGATATATATGTATATATATATAACACAGGAACTATAAAAGTCTGATTTCTTTTTCAGCTTCGGTTTAACTTCTCTGAGCCGTTGTATTCCCATTCTCATGAATGAACTAATCTAAACTAAGACAGATCCTCGTTATATAGGTTCCGCACGGACACACAATAGAACAGCCCTGTACTCTTTATGACGTCACCGAGCATGCTCAAACTGTACGGACACAAAGAAAACACTGTTTCGGTATTATTGTGTCATCACCTCCTACGTGGAAATGTTTACCGAGCCGATGCCTAGAAACCGATTAACCTCTTTGTTCTATTGTTGCGTGCGTGTATTACTTAGCAACATCTGTTTCTGAGGCTCAGCTGTTATTGCACGAAGCAAATAAGCCACAATACTGGCCCAAGCATCGCTCGTTTATTGTTGTCATTTTACATGGCTATTCGTAGTCTCCACCTGTTCAGACTTCGGACATATGCTATATAATGACAGACTAAGCATTTGTGTAGAGGCTTCAAGATTTCATCTGAATGAATCGGCCTTTCATACTTGAAATATGATTTCTCAGTAGACTTGATCTCACTGTTTCTGCGTCCAGCACTCAGCGCTACCGGAACTGTTACATCGAGATGAAAATAAACTGAAAAATAATCAGATATTAAAGCTAACTGTTACGAACCATTTAAGGCACAGCGGTTACTGTGTGTACCATCTGCATGGAAAATTCTGTGCTTTTACCATTTGAACCATTTTCAGAATGAAAATATCAGCTATTTCCCTATACAGTGTTAATCGATTGGTCTTCGTAATGAAAACTTAATGCGCTTATTGGGAGGTATGAAATAATTTTTAAATATTGATTGCATGAATTTCACGTTTCAGATGGACCTCCACGGCCTCTTACAGGGATAGCTTTGTTTTCACAAATGAATAATCCATTTTTAAGTTTTTTACTTAAATGTAAGTTTCCCCCATTTGATATTTTATGTCTTACCCCGAAAAAAGGAGTGTTTCACCTACAAAGACAAAACTCACTGATCTTTTACGCAGAAATACTGTTAATCTGAAAATTATAAGAACCACATAAAGACATTATCAGCAAAAAGATGCTTCTTCTTCTTTTCAAATTCGCTTAGTGGGCGGTGGAGTCCAATCTGGGTCCACTCGGCACGGCGGCCACTGATTGGCCTATTGTAGCCTGCCCCGGGTGATTATGATGATGGAGAATTTGGTGGAATGAAGATTGGCAGGGGAAACAGAAGTACTCGTAGAAAACCCGCCCCAGCGCCACTTTGTCCACCACAAATCCCATTTGACCAGACCGTGTCGCCGCGGTGGGAAGCCAGCGACTAACCGCTTGAGCTATGGCGCGGCCCATGAAGATGCTTCAGTAGACTCGAATACTACGTGATCGCTTTGGTAGAATTTTCAGACTTTATGACAGTGAATTAAAGAATCCTTGCTCCTGCGTAACGAACCTCTCTCATTCCCAACCGCAACACCAGGAGGTCTTACATGGGGCGTGGAGTTAATTTCCCTCCCCGCCGCCGCTTCTACTTTCAGTGGCGGCTCCTCCAACAAGTGGCTTATTGTCATGGACGTGGTGGGAAAGGGAACTGTTAAATGTGTGTTCGGGGATTGAGCCCTGTAGTTGAAGTTATCAGTGTTCCTATTTACCAGAGTAAGTTACGTCATACTGCTGTGTATGTGTTTAACATCTGTTACGCTCTTCTGCTGAGCTGAGTCTGTTTTGGAAATCTGATAAACCAGAATCCAACATAAAGCATAAAGTAAGCAGGCAGTTCCGCAGTTCTGCCTGCCTCATGTTGGTTCCTTGCTTGGCTTTCTCTTCTACCCTGAAAATGGATGCGGTATATTGGTTCACTTCTCCAGCAATATGCCCCAGCAGTACGGGTAAAGGTAAAGCAATCCCTGGGCTCCATTAAACACCGTGCCATGAACGTGGAGGTGAGTGGTCAGATGCACGATCCTGCCGCTTTACTCCTTGTATAGGAAGCNTTCACTTCTCCAGCAATATGCCCCAGCAGTACGGGTAAAGGTAAAGTAATCCCTGGGCTCCATTAGACACCGTGCCATGAATACGTGGAGGTGAGTGGTCAGATGCACGATCCTGCCGCTTTACCCATTGTATAGGAAGTTAGTTGGGCTCCAGGGCCTCTTTGGACGCCCTGGAGGAAGTAAAATATTTCTCGCTCTTACAGAGGATCGAACACTGATCCCTCGGTCGTCCACCCCATAGCCCAGACGCTATTCCGGCTCATTAGACATTTTCAGTGCATGAAATTATAGACAACATTCCTAGACTTCAATCTGCTTTACGTCTTCTTGGTGTATTTAATTTTGATATATTACTCTTTTCCCCAAATTTTCAAATTATTTTTTATTATTCATATAGCCAAATATAAATGAAATATAAATGCACTTGATATGACTATGCGAGAAATTTATTGCAAACGCATTCTTTTAAATTTGTTTCCTTATGTGCCTTTCCTATCTCTAGTTCACTTCTATTCAGCCAGCATTTGTAGCTAAATAAACCTCCGGAAATGGAGTTAAGGATTTTGGCAATATGCAGCTGTACGTAACGCAATCCATTATCGTGCCCTCAAATTTGTATAACTTTCCGATACACTCAAGATGTTGAAGGCGTCATGTGTAGTCCAGCTATTTACCCTTTCCCGTCCAGGCAGGTCGAAGCTTTCAAATAACAAAACTTCTAAGCGATCAAAGGACGCGGTTAAGAGCAAGCATCGGGGAGAGCCGATCGGTTAGGTAAGGAGTATTTACATGCTACACGTCTTTTGTACTTCCTCACTGAACAAATATAGGTAACAAGTTCTCTTTGGCTCTTAGGGGTAACACACCCAAGTTCCCATATGAAAAGCTGAAACCACTATACACAACTTGGCACCTGCAGCCTGGAAGAATAAACACGCGGTGTCTATACTCTAACCAGAGTTTGGGGGTCCAATCAATTCAGTGTTTATGCTTTAAGTTTCCGACATTTTGTGACCATGTGACATCTAGAGAAGTGACATGTTACATGTAATGAACAGCTTGGCCAATTATTGACGGTGGAGTCTTTGTAAGTTGAGTGTTTGTAAATATTATAGTTACGCTCAACTGACGCCGTTCTGTTCAATACAAACAACTTGAGAGTTGTTTGGCTGAACACTTTATCCTCTTACTTGAAA